TGGGTTCCTTTAAATCAGAGCTAGATAAGCTTTTAACAACTCTGAGCTATTAGTTAAGTTCTCCCCAAGCGAGCTCGATGGGCAGAATGGCCTCCTCTCGTTTGTATAGTTCTTATGTTCTTAAGTCTGTGGACGACATGGTAGGAATGGAAAAACTGGAGGTAGCCTGTGCAAGAGAGTGAAAATGACATCACTCTGCCAGAACCACTGACATGCTGAGCAAGAGACATACATCTTCAAAGGCGTGTAATGGTAGCAATTCTAAAGCTGTATTTCGGACGTTTCCTGGTTTATTTCCCATAATGCTGCTGGTCTTTCTAAACCGTGTTCATGCACTGGCTCCTGTGAGGCCCTATTGTGTCCGAAACACAGAGAGACGGCACATTCACTAGACAAACATGTGCCCGAAAGCGGTTTCTCAGCCTCTCCTCGCCTACCTTCTCTCGTCTTGCGGGATAATGTGCTTTTGTTCAAGCAGCCCGTCTTGTAGATGTAGCCAGAGTACAGGACAGGCTGGATGATCTCATCATAAACGCTTTGTGTCCAGTCTACCAGGCTGGAATCTGAGACGAGAGAGATGGAAACCACAACAGGAAATGTGTGTCACCCCTGGTCTCTTACGATGTCGCAAACTACAGCAATATGCTTGGCACTAAAAATAAATCCCTTTGCTCTGCTACCAGCAGTATTCACAAGGTGCTGTTTCACATCTTATTAGACTTTGCAGTGGTGCTCTCCAATCTACTCCTTGAGGACCCACAGACTAAAAATCAACTTTTTTGTTCGTACTAATGGGAGCTGGGAGGGAGCAAAAATGTGGATTAACTGCGATTCCCCAAGTACCGGTTTGGGAAACACCGTATTATAGCATCATATCTCTACTTGGACAACTGAGGTTCTGAACATGGGAGAAGACATTTTAGAAGAATGAATGGAATCTTATTCAAACTCTATGAATCGGTGACTTTACACAAATAAAGACTTACACAGCCTCGACAGGCTGTACACAACTCTACTCCATGCAGTGGGTGGAGCATCATGATCCAGAAGTTGAGGGCCCTTACCTGAGGTGGCTTGCATACGATGGTCCGGTGACAGGCCATTAGTGTTGGCAACAGCCTCACTGAAAATGTATGTGACGGTCTTGAGCAGGTTATGCTCAGTCACTGCGGTGCAAAGAGCCTGTGGGCGAAACCAAGATCTGCGGTTACGACAGCAGACCATCAAGGACACTCACACCCACTCATTTTTGTGGTTTCATTCCATAAAGCTTGTTCACATATGTCACCTTTACACAGAAGGCAGGGCGAAATCAACCTTCAAGCTGTAGCGTTTTTTTTTCCGCTCGCCTTTATAGACACGTACTATTCTGTCGCTAGCAAAAACCTAGAATTTGTTGATTTTCTCATATTTAAGTGGGCAAATTCAGCTCCCGAAATGTCCCAAAGCTCAGCCACAGTGTAGATATCTTTATCTATCGTCTGGGGAAGCAGGGTAGTCCATTTCAGATAAGCGTTGCTCACACAATTTTATTTCCTGTTTTTTTGTTGTTGTTGTTTTTTTTAGCAATACCTCCGTTTCTACAACTCTATTTAAATTTCTATGCAGAAAGTCCTGACATTGTCATCATTCCCTACCACCTGCCCTCTAGGAGCGGGACCTGCGCAAGCATCAAGAAGGAAAATTCAGACAACAAATCCTAATCAACCCAATACCACTGCTCTTAATTTCCACCTCAGCTCGGGTAAATTTACTCTTTCAGGTAAGTCAGAGTTGACTAAGAGCAGCCAGGTTTTACAGAAAGCTAAAATGGCCACAGACTCATCCCACAGTATGGCTTTTGGACTGGCCTGGAAGACCTTTCACCTGAAAAATAAAAGTGCGCGTGTTGGGAAAGCTACAACTAAAAGCTCGGCAGAAAAAAAAACGCTTCCCAGTTCAGAAACACAGCACAGACTGCAGGCGGGTTAGTCTCAGCCCCCCAGAGAGGAAACTAGAGGGACACTATGTTGCTGTTTGTGTACCACTGAGAGTCATGTAACGCAACACCACCCACGGGTGTCGCGTCACGTTGCCTTCCTGTGCCGGGGACAACGGCCCAAGCAGAGTTTGTTTATTCACATTAGACCCAATTTCCAAATAGACACTCAGGATTTTTAATTTTACACTTTATCCGTGTAATTTTTCCGATCCAGGTGCCATTTCTCAGTGGAAAGCACTGGACCAAGCACGCTTTGGTCCTGGAAGTCCATCTCCTTGTGCCACCTACGGCCACGGGATAGTCGGTGTTGGGGGCCCTGTGCTCCTCAAAGCACTTGAGCGCGTGCGACTCCCACAGGGTACAAAGCCGAGAAGCTCCTACTCCGATGGTTTGCTCAGTGTGAAACGTGTCGGTGTCTGTCGTCACGGTAACCTTGAGCAGCTCCTCCTGAGTGTTGAAGCTGGGATGTGAGCGCCGGAAGCGTCCCTCGCGGTACTTGAGGATGACGAACTCGCGCCTTTGCTCTGGAGTGGCGTCGCAGTCCAGTTCGGCGTCCACAGGGAGGTGGGCCGCCCAGAATTCATTGGCCCGATCGTTGCCCAGCATGATGAAGAGCTGTGAACACAGACAAAGCCTGAATTGAAGAAGCACAGGGGTAGATGGACTGCTTGATGGTTTGTTGTGTTTTATCAGACGGTGTGCCTGTGATCAGAAGGTCACCGATTCAAATCCCAACATTGGCAGAGATATTTCACCACAGGGCCCTTAAGCAACACCCATAACCCTCAGCTGCTCCAGGGGCTGTCTGACCCTGCGGTCACAAGAAACGCATGTTGCTTCTGATAGATACCGCGCCCTCCACGACTATGGGCACGACGTATAAAAAGGGTTAGAAAAAAAAATCCACCCTTTGGTGAGGCAGCTACACGTCACCCTGAAAATTGTATATTAATGAAAGGCTCAATTTATTCCAAGAAAAAAAATCCTTCATCAAGAAATAATTTAGGGCGCTGTAGATAAATAAAATGCACGTTGTGGGGCGGGGGGGCGGGGGGGTAGTGTGCTCCCGGGAGGCTGTGTGTGTGACGCACTCTTTGAAAATGAGATTAAATCTGTATTTTAGACTAAATTATCATTCCAGGAATCACCCGAATCTAGCACACTTGTCACATAGACCCCCCCCCCAAGCAGTCCACGTTTTTGCAGTAATGTGGACTGTCTGGCAGGGAGCTGGGAGGGAGCAAAAACGTGGACCGGCTGTGGGTCCCCAAGGACCCGGCTGGGAAACACTGATACAGACAATCAAGGACAAAAAGGGGAGTGGGGGCCCAGTGCCTGCATGGGGGACCAGTGCCTCCTACAGAAAAGTGAGCTACAGTATCATCCCTAGATACATTTTCTTTTCCAGATAAATCTGTGCCACAATGACTAATATTCACTCAGAATTACAAGTTACAGGAGGCCCCAAATTCTTAATGGGAGACAAGCCTGGTTATAAGAACCTTGGAATGTGTTAATACTTTCGCAAGATTCACTCACACAAATGCATTAATGAAACACCCATAGGGCTACGGTGGGCAGATCTGAGTCTCGCAGAGAGTCAGCTCAGCCCCTCTGAATAATAAAGCAGATTTTACCTGCACAATTTCATTGCTCCACACACTTGTGTCCAGTTTTAGGCTCTGTACCTTGGACACCATAGTGCCAAGGCTTCGGTGCTGCCCTGCAGATGAAACCAACGCACAAAAACTGGTCATAATAGCTACTGCAGGGGGTACCTGTTAGGGAAGGGAATTATGGGAATTCAGCTGGCAAGGTGAAGACTAAGCATGTGGATGGAGGAGACTTTTTACATTAAGCTTACCTGCACAGTTCTTGCAGATGACCACACAGAGGTTGATGGAGGCCCAGTCAGGGTTGATGGCTTTACAGTCAGCGCACATCTTGTTGGACCGGTTGGACCAGATCTTTTCCGCCACCTCATAATCAGAGAGCGTCTCCGCAATGGACTCCTGCAGGGCTTCCATCCAGTCTCTCTTCTCTCGCTCTGACTCAGCCGTGAAGCTGTAGGTTGGGAGGGGACGGACCGTTGCTTCGACACCTCCGGCGTACACTAAGCCCATTGTGTGCCGCCTTGTAGGGTCTCGTTCACAATGCTGCCCCACCCTCAACAATACTGAGGACCTCCCCCCCACTCCCTCTGGAATGGTCATTTTCCAGTGCAAGACAGAATTCTCACAATGTGTCCAATTGAACTGGTAGAAGATTACAAAATGGATTCTGATTACAGAATTTTAATTTTACCTGAAAACTTTGTAGGGAGTTATGAGATCAAAGCTTTTGCCCTTGCCGTCTCTAATCGTCGAGCCTCTAGCTTCTATCAAGGTGATTCCAATTCCATTTTTGAAGCACTGCATGGAGAAACAAAGAGAACCGACCACCATAAATAACATCCGAAGAGAGACAAATACACAATACATACTAGACTACACACTATTTACTCTGGCTATGACCATGGTTCACAGTTCACAGTTGACAGTTGACAGTTCACAGTTGACAGTTCACAGTTGTTTTTTAAAAGCAGGCTCCTCTGTCTTGTCTTAAGTTAACATGCCCAGGTGAGTCAGGCAGCCAGTTTAACTTAGACCCCAAGTTTAGTTTTTTTCCGCTCTACTTTTTTCTCTCTTTTTGGTCAATCTCCTCCATTGTCTTCTAGCCTTCTTTCTCTCCCTTCTCCCTGATTCGTGCACCATATTTCATAAATGATGTAGTTCCCGATTGCCATACTCTCATCAAGTGCCTTGGGACGACTCTGTTGTAAAATAGTGCTCTATAAAAGTAAGCCGTATTGTACGAATAGACAGACCAGGTCTGAGCTACAAATATCTCCCAATGAGGAATGACTTGTCAGCACAGCATTAACCGAGAGGCCGATGGCCGCTCTGATTGGCCAAGGGGGGGTCACCTGCTCGTTCTTGTACAGCCACACTTGCTCCGTGTTGATGGCAGCGTAGACCTTGGATTTAGTGCCTTTGAGCTCCAGGAAGCCACTCTTTTGACAGTGGCTGCCAGGGCCGAAGCGCGGCCGGCCAAACTCCAGCTGGTCTTTGACTCGGCTCTGCAACGTACTGCACCACTTGTTCCTCAAGGCTAAGAGTAGTGATGGGAAGGGGAAACAGAGAGGTGGGGACACGGAAATGTTTGGGGGGGGAAGTCGCTTTACTCTCAGCTTGCCCGGGAACAAACTCCCACACCCAGCTATCAAACCACATCCTGTGAACCCAGGAGTCAGTCGGTCCAGGCCCAAAGCAACAGTGATTTCCCAACTCAACTCAACTCCACCTCAAATGACGCCTCACTCTGCATGGAATTACTTTAAGGTAAATGTTACACACAAGCCCTTTTGTTTCTGCCAAGCCATGAAGTGGATTTATGTTTGTGTCATGGAGGTCTTTACCTTCGTTATCTGCCCGGAAGACAAATGTTCTATGGCTCGTAACAACTTCAAATTTATTATCCTTGGACGTGCGGGCCATCTGTATGGCGGCCAAAGGAATCACACCTTTCGGGTAGACTTCCTGGGTCAGACAGCCATTTTGGAGGGAAAAGGTCGTAAGCGATGAGAACTGCTGACTATGCAGAATAGATTATCTTCACATCACTTTAACCAAGAAATATACCTCGAGGATCTAAGAGGACTTAATATTGAATGAGATAAGGCAAAGGACAACACAGTAAGAGGTTCAGTTTTCTTGAAGGCCAAGCTTTTATGTTTGGTGTAATGCCCTCATCATTTCATCAGACAACAGTCCCACTTGATTTTTACCAGGCCTCTGCCTACAGCTACCGCGTGTGGAAAAACCTGGTCACCAGGCACCACTGCATCGACTTACCTTCTCGCTGCCAAAGTACATCAGGTTTTTGCCGTCAAACTTCACGTAGCGCTTCTGGAACACATAGTTTCTGAAACGATAATGTCCAAAGTCTACCAGTCAGCATGCGTCAACAAATCCAACCAGAGAATCAAACCAATACGATCAATGTAAGTACAGAAAACAGAGGCCATCACAGTGAGAAATTTCATTTTGTGTTTTACTTTATTTTTAAGCCATGGTTTTCTACAGCCGCAGAAAAAAATTAAGAAAATCACAGTACACTTTTTTTTGTTTTACTCATTTCTCAATTTATGGGTGTGCGTCTGTGAATAATAATTATAATTTTTTTTTTTTTTTGCGAAATGCAGCCTGGTTCTTCTCCATTTCTCATTAATGAAGGACTTCTTCCTTTCCTTATGGGACTTCAGTCCTGCTTCCTAGCAGTGCACTTTAGACCTGCACTTAACGTTTCCCATTCCTTTTGAAGGTCACTTGATGTCATCCTACGACTCGTGAGAAACTGCCGGATAAATTAAAGGTCATCTAGAACGTTGCATCCGCCCGTTAACTGGCTGATTTCTGGTCGTTCCTAATTTTGAACCTGGAAGCAACCTGCCACCGAGTGTGGGCTTCTGCTGAAAGAACCATGATTAAACCAGGATTTTAAAATACAGATTTGATATAAATATAGACTGGCCTCAATTTTTTACGTGGCTGTATAAATAAATTTGCATGAATACCATAATGTTACATGTCTAAACATGCTTTTACAATGCAAACTACAAGACAACAATATCTCACGTCTTTACACATATGGCTCAGTAACCCAAAATCCACCCCACACCCAAAAAGTCCCAGAAAAGAGAGCAAAAAGAGCCCCACACACACCGATTTGGGAAGACAGACACGAAGCACAGACACTTCCGGAGAGGGGAGGACAGGCAGTGTGAGGAAGGGGGCAGCCTGGACGAGTCGTACCCTTGAGGCGAGAGCTTGTCCAGCCAGCCGCTGAGAACGGGGGCGACATGCTCCGACAGAGACGTGTAACTGGCATAGGGCGAGATGGCCTGCTCCTCATCCGTGTCGCCAGAGGACAGCCCCAGGGGGGGCAGCGAGAGGCAGCGGCCCAAGGGCGGCCCCGGGTCACCCACCGTGCAATAGGCTGGCAACTCGTGCATTGCCGGCGACAAGCGACAGGACCATGGCGGGCGGAGTTCCAGCCTGAGGAGAGACGGCCGACTTGCGTTCAGAGTCCCTTGCCATGCACCTACACAATCACATCAAGCCCCTGCAAGACTAAATAACAACTTAATTACAGGAGACTGTGGGCCTTTTGCTAGTCCAGATTACATAGATACCTACACATAAACATTCGATAGACATTTAATAACAAAACGACCTGACAGCACAACTGCAGGAGGAAACCAACATGGCTGTCCGTTGAGAGAATGTGAACAGAGCACAAAGCTCCCTCCTGAAAGAGTGGAGGAGTCAAAAGCTCACACAAAGACCTGCTTGTTAACACACGCGTAGGCTTCCCCAAGTCCAGTCATGAGGTCAGTGCAATACCAGCTCTTCTCCTTATAGTAGAACACACTCCACTTACCCAGAATCCTCTCCTTTTGTGTCCACTTTCATTTTGGGTGGCTGGGTCTCTCCATCACTTTTAGTCCTTATGACCTTTGCGTAACCGAATGACAAAAAATAAGGAAGTCTGGATTCTTAGCTGCATGACGCACATAGTCCTTCTCTCTCTCACTCTCACTCAGTCACACACACACACACACACACACACACACAGGAATGCACATCTACCCAGCGCTATCCAGAATTACTAAGGCCGACCACAAAAGCCGAAACAGCCTTTGGTTGTGGGCTGTAAAAATGGCAGATTATCAGTCTGTTGGGGAGCAGCACACACACCTCAATGGCAGACATTTTCAACCAACCCGATGCAACCATGACCTATCAACATGTCGTCTAGAGAAATGTCAATAGACCAATCAAACCAAGTGCAGACCATGGAATAATACAGGAAATGACCACTGTGATCCTCATCTAAAAAAACACTCCAACTGTTCACAGAGAGAACATACTGTTCATAGACTGAAATGTAAACTCATGCTTTCAGTTACCAGATTCTGAGTTTTTCCAAGTCCATTCCCTCCCATTCCCTCATTAAGACAAACATGACATCATAGGTTCTACTCAAAATGAACCTTGTCGTCAACCAACCCACCCCAAAACACTGGCATTCCATATGACAAATAAAGTCCAGCGACACCTTCATGCTAAGCTCACCTTAGCATCCTGGAATCGCTGGTTCTGAAACACGGTTTCACAGTAAGGGCTAATGGACTCGTCTTCATCTGACACTAGTTTGGGAACATAAAGCAAACTGGATTATAATATGAAAAATAAAATAAAAAGTCACATCAGGGGTGATTCTAGAATTAGACCATTAGGGGAGATGAGCCCCAAGTAGGGCTGCCACATTCAAGACGAAGAAAGCTGAGCTTTAACTATAAAATTTGTACGAAATGTTTGCGAATATAGAACATAAATCGGCAAATGCAATAACTGAGCAAGTAAATAAATAAGCAAGATGGGTGGCTCAAGTCCCCCTAAATAGGGTCTAGATTCGTCTATGAGCCAAAAAACATGACAGGAAAAAATAATTATAATAATGGCAAAGCTACCATTAACACACCAGCAAGGCTACCCATAAGCAGAGGTGGACATTTCAGGTCCAGAAAGTAAAAATCCAAACCAGGATTTTGTTTCAACCAACCAGTTTGAGTACTCTGTGACTGTGGCTCTTTATGCTCAACTGGTTGGTTGAAACAAAATCCTGGTTTGGATTTTTACTTTCTGGACCTGAAATGTCCACCTCTGCCCATAAGCTTAATGGCAGGATGACTTGACGTTACAGATTAGAAATGCCATGACATCATAGGGTCACACAGGATGTGAGAACATTCCTCACTCAGATTCCTTTCCTTCTAATCAGCTATTCATAAAAGAGAGGAAAAGACTTACCCAGAATTCTTTTGGGCTGATCCATAAAATTGTTCGCACTGCTGCGGAAGAGACAGAAAGAATTTCCAAAGGGAGGGTGTGAGAGATGAGGAGCCGTCATGTTTACAGTGAAAAGAAAACATTGTGAACGACAACAATAAACATTTTTACAAACAAGCAATAGAGTGCCATCAGTTATTAATGAGGTCTCCTCATCTATGCTACGGCATCTGTGCTGGCTTTCTTGTCATTCAGATCTGTTGCTGGCTGCTACGTGGACTTCCAGTGTCGAATTTCCTTCAAAATGGAATCCAAATTAATTAAAAGCTCATTTTCCCCCTTTCACGCTCCCTGACTCAATGCCACAAACTGCATCACAAACAAAAGAATTTTATTATTTGTTAGCTACCGTATTGCGAGTTACTTCATGGAAGACATCATGAAAGCTTGTGAGAAAATCCTAAAGCAATGAAGTCCATAAACACAGGAATGTCTTTCCGCCCACAAAAGTTGTCACCATATAGAAACTACAAGGGAATTTTCTACTTAACACTCAAATAAAGAATCTCATTATTTTACATGAACTGTACTAAACAAAAAGGGACCAGGTCTGAAGCATGCTTGCCACTAAAATATTCATAGCTGCCTGGTGCGTTGTTTCTTTAATTAGCTCATCTACCATCTTCCTGCCATCAGGCTGCTTTCAAGCACGAAGCAGTGGGAGACACTCCGCTGAACCACACAGGCTTTGACCGCTACTGGGACTGAGGGCTGGAAGAAGGAAGAACTATTCCATACATTTTGGTTGCAAGACGCTAATGTTCCCTGTGAAATCGAAAGAATCGCACACAGTCACTGCTTCGGCAGGCTGAAAACGGGGGCATTTCCCAGCAGAAGCTGTCGCTGGCTTATTACACACAGCGGTTTAGGTCCGTTACACTAGAATGTGACAAAATCTTTCTCCGACATTGTTTTTCCTGAATTTATGATACCTTCCTGAGTCCAACTGTATTTTACTTTGGATATGACTTGTACAAATGGTATTCTCCCCCCTTGGAGTTTTTTTTGTCAGTAGTCCTAAAATCGTTTGGCTCAGTAGCCGAATCTCGCTGGCGTGTTAAGAGCAGCCCTCTGCACGGCCGCGGTCAACACGCAGCGCTAAGCTTGTCCCGACAAAGAGGCAAACTGGCTCCCGCTGTTAGGCCACTTCATGTCCAATGTCTATTTGGCTTGAGGAGAGGCCAGAACTGGCCATTTTGTCTTGCGGCCTGTACAGAAATGCCAGACACGGGTTGCGGGCGTACCGTGTTACATAGCTGCTTAGCAAAGTGCCCACACTCAGCGTTAATGACAACAATGCAGCCTCACTGCTTGTTATTCCACAAAAAAATACACTTGGCCAGCTCGTTATAGGTGCACTACTACAACTAATTTGATTGGATGGTTTAGACTTTGAGGCCAATAAGCAATCACAGAAAATTGGCACGGGTCTGAAACATTTTTCCCACGGCCGGAAGAAAGCATTACTAAAGCAGCTTAGCTAGCTAGAGGCCAACGCAGCTTAGCTAGCTAGAGGCCAATATACCTTAGCTAGCTAGAGGCCAACGCAGCTTAGCTAGCTAGAGGCCAAAGCAGCTTAGTTAGCCAGAGGCCAATATACCTTAGCTAGCTAGAGGCCAACGCAGCTTAGCTAGCTAGAGGCCAAAGCAGC